CATATATTATATTTCTCATACATCTCACCCTCCATTTACGTGGCATTGTTTTGTCTTGTTTGCCTTCTTTATGATAGCCATTCTGACAGTTGTAAGGTCAGTTAAGCTTTTATTTGAGTTTCCTTACTAGTTAAACATATTTTCTTTAATTAAAATCTTGGTTAATTGTTTTACATAATTTTATATTCCTCATCAAAGAATCTACCCTATCAGATGGTAGCAGTGTGTGGCTGGGAGGCTGACAATTTCAAAGGATTTTATAATTCAGGTATGAAATGACTATGGTCTAAGGAGAAAGGGAAGACACTATCAGAAAATATATAGCTTATCTTCTCTATAGAATCTCAAATAAACATCAACGTGTCTGGAAGATATGTCCACTAGTCAATAGTAGCATTAATGTTACATTATGGGAATAACGAAACACTTTCTTTTTCTTTTCTTATTTTAATTTAAAGCTCATTTTCTGAGATTGAATCAATACACAACACATGATACTTTTAGTTGAGCCAAAAACCTCAGAGCAAATAGGTGATGGGCCCTACAGGAAAAGTAACACTATTATTTTGTAGACTCATAAACCTTTGCCCTATGTCTAAAAATCAAAAATGAATGAGTACATACAATGTTTATCTTTTTATGATTGGGTTATCTCACACAGGATGGTTTCTTGTAGTTCCATCTATTTGCCTGCAAATTTCAAGATTCCAATGTTTTGTTTTGTTTTGTTTTGTTTTGTTTTTCCACTAAGTAGTACTCCACTGTGTAAATGTACCACATTTTCTCTATCAATTTTCAGTTGAAGGTCATCTAGGTTGCTTCCAGGTTCTGACTATTACAAATAATGCTGCTATGAACACAGTTGAACATATGTACTTATTGTATGAGTGTGCATTCTTTGAATATATTCTCAAGAGAGGAATTGCTGGATCTTGAGGTAGATTGATTCCCATTTTCCTGAGAAACTGCCATACTGATTTCCAAAGTGGTTGTACAAGTTTGCACTCCCACCAGAAATGGAGGAGAGTTCCTTTTTATCCACATCATCTCCAGCATAGATTGCCATCTGTGTTATTAATTTTAGCCATTCTGACAGGAGTAAGATGATATCTCAGAGTGGTTTTGAGCTTCATTTCCCTGATGGCTAAGGATGTTGAGCACTTTACACTGCCAGAGGATCTAAGAAACAAGGAGGGCCCAGAAGAGAAGCTTGCATAGTCCCTTGAAGAAGGGGATGGGGACAAGAACCCCAGAACAAAGTGGGAGTGGGGGGGAGGTGGGAAGGGAAGAAAAGGATGGGGGGAGAACAAGAGGATTGAGATGGGGAGGAGTAGAGGAGGGCAAGAAAGGAGATAACTTGACAGAGGGAGACAGTACAGGTTTGGAGAGAGCTCTGGCACAGGTAAATGTTACAGGATCCACAGGGATGACTCCATCTAATCCAGGCAGTGGTGGAGAGGGTGGCATTGATGCCATTCCTCTATAATGAGATTGATGCCTATCTTGGTTACCATTCCTAGAACCTTCATCCTGTAGATGTTTAAAGCAGAAACAGGCACCCACAGCTAACACTGAACCATACTACTGGAATCCAGTTGTGAAGAGGGAGGAGGGATGAGCAAAGGAGCCAAGATGGGACTGGAGGAACCCACAGAAACAGTGAACCTGACCTAGTGAGAGCATGGAGACCCTAGTCATAAAGCTGGGGAAACACCATTGAACCAAACCAAGCCCTCTGAATGTGGGTGCCAGCTAGGAGGCTATGGCATATCTAACAGTGGAACCAGTCTTTATCCCCAGAGCACAAATGGGATTTGGGAGCCCATTCCCTATGGAGGGACACGATTGCAGCCCAGATACAGCAAGGAATGGTCAAGGCCCTTCCCAAATGATATGATAGTCTTTGAAGGTCCCCTGTGGAGGGCCTCACTATCCCTGTGGAGGAGTTGGGGGGATTGGGGGGATTAGTGGGGAACATGGGAGGGTGGGAAGGCAAGGGAATGGGTGGATGGATATGTAAATATGAGTAGTAATTAAAGTGTTTTTAAAAAGAAGAAAAGCAATACTATTGTTTTCTAAGTGGGCATAGAAATAAAATTACCCCTAACAAAGCATAGATAAGTCTATCCATCAACCCTCATCAGAAAAGCTTCTTGAAGTAAATGATAATTAACAGAATGACTCACAGCAGGACAATCATCAAACAGTGACAAGCTTTGGACCATTCAGCCTTAAACAGGTTGTCTTTATCACCTCTCCCCTCAAGGCTTTGATATCTATATGTTAAAGGAGACATAACTTAAGAACCAGGACTAGTGGATGAATTTATGGAAACAACATTTTCCAGACACAACATGGCAGACTCAAATATGTACTCAGAAAATGGACAGCATGCATAGGACCAGCACAAGACCAAACAAAGGAAAATCTAAGCACAGAGAAGAGGGAATGGGCATAAAGGCCCACCCCTAATTGAGAAGCCATTTATAATTGATAGCTTCTGGGATAAGAAAAAGCATTTTTCTTCAGTATAGCAACACTAACCATCTCAACCAGTCAGGGAAGGCCCATGCTCAGGAACAGATAGTCAAGAAAAACATGGACTCATTTATATTCTTGTATGCCTTTTGTTTTATTTTGATAATTTTCATCTTATTGGTTTGCTTTTTTACTTTTTTGTTAAGAGAGATTGGAGGGAAAAGAATATTATAGGGGAGGGAGGGAGGTTGGGAGGATCTGGAAGGAATTGGGGAAAGAGAAAGAATATGATCAAAATACTTTGCATGAAAAATTTTAATAAAACTAGGAAAACTTAATTCCAAAAGTTTTTTATGTAATGTTGATCCCAACAACTAGACAGCCCATGAGGTCATAGGACTTCATCCCAGATGTTTCCTTATTGCTCGGCTTTGTTTTTGTTGTTTGCTTATCTGGTTAGTTTTTATTTATTTTTACACAATCTTCTACTTTTATGTATCAACTCATCCATTTGGAAAGCTCTCCAAAGAAAAAAACAAAACTGACAAACTCTCCTCAGATTAGATTGTTAAAAAATTTGAGATCATAATTTGATTGTAAAATTTCTTCCTTCTGTTTCCTCTAGAAATACTCTCAAATATACCTCTCTACTCTTCTTCAAATTCACAGCCTTTTCATTTTATTTTGCTTTACTAATTGTTATTTTAAAACAGGGCTCTTCATATCTAATTTAAGCCACTTCTTAAATGTATTGGTAATTAACACAGAGACTCATACCTGGACAATGTGTAGAGAATTCACTTAGCTTAAAATGGGCTGTCTTTATCACATCTCTCCTCCCAAGCAAGGCTCAGGGGTTTGTGGAAGATGAGACAGATCATAAGAACCATTATATATTACATAATACTATATTGCTTTTCATATGTTTTTCATTGAATGTTTTCTTTTAATGAACAGTTTTTGATATAGTATTTTTAAAACAAAACATTTACTTTCCTTGTAGATTGACAGAAGAAGTCTATATGAGTGAATTCAGCTCTCATGTTTAATAAGCATTCTGCTTAAATTCTGTTGAGAAGCTGTAGCCCATCCATTATACAACAAAGCTCCATCCCTAAACATGATGCTACATTCAAGCATTTATTAACAGAAACCTAAGAATATTTCAAAAGAAAAGAGTTAGTATTTGGGGACCATAAACAAATTATACTCTTTTAAAGATAAAAGAACATTGCAATGAAAAAAATGCACAAAATCCTCCTTAGTAGAAGAACTCACAATTTTAAGAAATTTTAAGAAGGAAACAATGGTCAAGATGTACCCTGGGGCACAGGAAGAAACACTCTCCAAGGTTCCTGCTTCAGGACATGGCTCAGGGAGCAGAGTTCCAGTTGTAAGGCATCTAAGAGCAAGATAAAAACAGCATAAATCTGGCACTTGGATTTTGATGCAGGAGGATCAGTGTAAAATTATATTTAATTCCACAGATCCAAATAAACTAAGTAACAAGGAGGGCTCAAGGGGGGAACATCTGAATCTGACATAGAAGTCTTTATGTAGATCAGATTGGTCACAAACTCGTGAGGAATCTCCTGCCGCCACCTTCTGAGTGCTGGGATTACAACAAACAGATATGTTTAAACTTGAATGATTGCTTTATTAATAACTTCAAATAAAATTGTATTTAGTTTGAGTATAAAAGTTAAGAAGATTAAAGCTGTGTATAAATACAATCCTCTTTTGAGAACTTTTGTCTCTTTTATTTAAATTCTTTAATTACTACTCATTTATTTACTGCCCCAATATTTTATTGCATTAACTGTAGTTGATATTAGCTGTTTTAGGTTGGTGGGATCTCAGGAACTCCTTTGGTAATTTTCCTAAGAGGTATTTTTTTCACTATTAGGGGATCCTTCCATCTTCTTTCCCAGGGCTGACTGACATAAATTGTCTTTTAATCCACGAAGAAAACATGCACTGGCAGGAATGGCCAACCAAGAATTATCTCTCAATACATCAAGAAATGGTTCACATTCTTTAACAAAAGGCAAAGAACCCTCCATGACATAATGGAATCACAAGAGACAGGGAGCCTACAGTACTTTTGTGAAAATTTTCCTTCTAGCCTTTCTAAATTCTAGCTGTTACTGAGATCATTATCATAAACTGATTTTTTAAATTGAAAATAGGTTTTCATCCAAATATATATAACAGTTTGAATTACCTGTAAGCTTGGAGTTAATAGCCACCACTGTAGCTGGTAATTTTGATTCCATTCTTTTTTAATTAATAGATTCTAAATATAAAATTCAATCATCTTTCATTTACACACATAAATATTGAGTTTCCAACTCAGTGCACATGTTTGATATAAAAGGGAAAACAGCATTATCTAAAGCCCAAAATAATGCTTGTTCTGGAGAATAGTATTAGCTCCTCATAGGAAATAAATGTACTATGCTTTGTGTGCAATAATTTTGACTTCTTTACTATTAATATAAATTTTGGTAAAAGTAACATTTTTATGTTTCATCTGAATGTACTATCAATTTCTTCCACACTTTCCTTATGGCATTCTTCATGTCCTTATTCCGAAAAGTGTAAATCATTGGATTAAGCAATGGCGATAACATGGTGTAAAATATTGCTACCATTTTGTCAAAGGAGAAGGCAGTAGGAGGTCTTGCATATGTAAATATACATGGAACAAAGAACAAGATCACAACAGCAATGTGGGACCCACAAGTAGACAGAGCTTTCCATCGCCCTTCAGAACTGTGGGATCTCAGTGAGAGCAAGATAAAACCATATGAAACAAGCAATAAGGAGAAGATTATGATGCAGATAAATCCACTGTTGGCAACCACTAAAAGGCCAAAGATGTGAGTGTCAGTGCAGGCAAGCTCCAGCAATGGGTACAAATCACATATGAAATGATCAATGACATTGGGTCCACAGAAGGGCAGCTGCAAAGTGAAGATGATTTGTATGATGGAATGTAAGAATCCCCCTGCCCAGGCAACTCCTATCAGAGTGCCACAGAGCCTCCAGTTCATGATGGAAAAGTAGTGTAAGGGCTTGCAAATGGCCACATAGCGGTCATAGGCCATGGCTGTCAGAACAATCACCTCAGCCCCACCAAAGAAGTGTTCAGAAAAAAGTTGTATCATGCATCCTTCAAAGGAGATAGTTTTTCTCTCATAGAGAGAATCCACAATCATCTTCGGTGTCATGGCAGAAGAGAAACTTGCATCAAGTAAAGACAGAAAAGCCAGAAAGAAATACATGGGGTAGCTCAGCAGTGTAGGGCTACAGACAATGGTTACCACAATTGTCATGTTGCCTCCGATAGTTGCAATGTAGACAAACAAACATATAATAAATATCAGTTTTTGAACACTTGGATTCTGTGATAGTCCCAGGAAGACAAATTCAGTTACTAAACTCTGGTTTTGCATGGTTTCCAAGGAAAAGGTGAAAGTCCAGTAGAGAGTATGTAATTTGGCAATGAAAAACACTTGCTTCAATCCCATTTATAATTTTGAAATCAATAGTGACTTATTACAGCTAAATCCAAAATTACAGTGAGTGCTTGATTTCATTGAGAATCCCAAAAAAAGAAAAGAAAAAATTTTACAGGGTGACAGAAGATCAGTCAGATTGAGGTACAGAATATTTACAGAATATTTAACAGAATAAATTACAGAATATTTAAAATCTAAAGCTCATCACACATGGAAATGGAAACAGCTATGTGTGGAAGATTTTCCATTTATTTCCACTTGTGCATATAAATGAAAAGAATGATTGAATTCTTATACTTTTTATGGGCATGTATCAGTTGGGAAGCATATATCTTTGACAATATGGACATGCTCACATGTCTTTGTTAAAAAGATGTAAACAAAAGAATAATATTTTATTGCAAAGGTTAAAATATTCTTTGTTTAGAAATTCTAATTTCAACTAATAGAAATCTTTTTAACTATGAATAAAACTAACAAACGTGTATAATGTACAATAGTTTCTCTGCTCAGTTCTCCAATTAATTTCTCCTAGGTGCCCATACTATGAATTCCAAAACCATTTACAAACTATCATCAATAACAGTAGGATAAAGCAAACTTTACCTGGGCTACAGAGTGAGTTTCAGGACAGCCTCCAAAGCCACAGAGAAACCCTGTCTTGAAAAAACAAACAAACAAAAAACAAAACAAACTTAAAAGGATCATGGCATCAGCAAATATCTATGTGTCATCCAGGTAAGTATACTAATCCAAGTCTCAGGTTCTGGCTGGCGTAGTTGAAGAATAATGCAGGAAAAAGAATAGGAAGAAATGAGTCTGACCAGTTCCTGACTCTTGCAAACTATACCAATATAGGATTTGCTGTTTGTTCCATGGATTGGAGCAAATTACTTAAGGTTCTAAGTACTCTCAAAGCCCAGATGACATTTCTGTATTTGAACTTGATAAGACTGTCTCTCAACAGGCTCTTGAGAGAACAGGAAAACATGCCGTGAAGGCAGTCAGAATATCAGAAGACAGTGTTGAGGTGTGAGTACACACCCCACAGTCAGAAGAATGGCATTCTACTCCTAATTCTAGCTATACTATCACCGATGGTGATAGACATTTACCAATCTTCTCATAGGTTTAAAATGTATTAAAATTATTTTGGCTAGTGACAGCATAATGATTAACAATAATCTAAACATGTGTCCTTGGCCCACAGATAAATGTATGGCATTACCCTCAGACCTCCTGCTCCAGATAATTTCCTTGTATCCAGGAAGTTATCAAATTGACTGGAACAATAAAAGGAAGAGAAAGCTTATATTAACTTATAGTAATAATTCTTATTATCTATTTCCTTAGCAAGTTTTCTCAATTAAGCTTATTCAAATAAAATTTATCTTTAAAGAATGTTAATATTCTACTATCAAACACATAACAATGCCAGCTTGCTCATGTAGTAGCCATTGTCACAGACAAAGGTACTTCTGTATTCTCTAACAGAAAATGGACACAGTAACATAGATCAAGTTCAGAGACTTCAAAAATTCCACTAGACAGTTATTATAACTGCATTTTAGAAAACATGTATCAGTGATGATAGATAATACTGATGTCAACATAGTTTCTAAATAACATCTACACAAAAAGTAAAAATTTAATTAGCATAAAATAGGATATGTCCTTTAAATATTATGCTATCTTCAGTTATAACTCTTAAATTGTGATAAAAGAGGTTTGTTTATTTAATTATTTTATAAAGCTTATGAATAATATTTCTGAAATTGTAAATACATTTGGAAACTTTATATTAACAACCTCAGCTCTAAAAACTTAATACAAAGGTGCAATGAGACAGGAAAACAATATAAGATGGTGCTTTACAAATACTAACAAAAGAGAGAGCTGCCTAAAATAAGCATAGATAGATGTTTATATAAATCAAATATTTATTACTCACCCATCTATGTAAGAATGTTCCTATACATGACAATCTGGGAACTATGTCCCCTTCAGATTTTGGTACCTTCTCCCAGCAGTCACTGATGCTCTGATAATTGTCTCAAATACTTCAATTGTCATAATCTTGCTATTTCTGGAGTGGAATGGCCTGTGATACCTACCATTCATGTGTTTCCACTGGTGTTCATTTCAGTGGGTACCTGAAGCCTCTTCTAGGATCTTGCTAATTCATCTGACTTAGATTGACACGAAACCAGGGCTCCAGATGTTCAAATTTACTGAACATTCTTAAGCAGGGACCAACAATAATTATTCACAAACATCAAACACAATTAAGGAGAGTAAATAGACACATTTAACTTAGGATATTCTACTCCTTGGCTTCTGTCATGTTTCTCACCTTAAGGTCTATTCTAATGAACTTGTCTGGTGTGTAATTGTGGACATTGTAAATTTCATGCTGTGTATTAATAAGAAGGAGGACAGCATTTCATGGTTCCACATCAAGATTCTGGAGACATTCTCTGAAAATTAACTGTTTAATCTTAAAAATGAAGAAGTGTTCAAGGATAGAAATATGTTTAAAAAATAAAGCTGTTGAGAGGGCAAAATATGACATGTGCTTGTTGCATTATAACTGATTTGTATTTATTTCACAGTTAAAATTTAAATATAATATTAATTACATTAAACCTATAAGAATGGCTGCTTTGCATCTCACTTCACAATTCTGCAGTTTTTATTGAAAGATGTTTACTGTGTATCAAGTCCTGTCCTACTGGTTTCCTATGTGTTTTTTCCTGTTTCTCTCATCACTAATCATAGCAGCCACAGTTTACACTACATTCTAACTATAAATCCCTTCTGAAAATTAAATAAAATAATTCTAAATCTCACTTATGTCAACTAATTTTTTAGCAATTCTCGTGATGACACTCTCCTGTTTTATATGTAGTAGCTTTGTTCAATGTCTAGTCAAACTCTAAGGCTCCTATTTTTTCTTCTCATCATGGACAAAGTAGAGAGGCATCTTCTGTAAATCACTGCTCCCACATGCTGTCTGCAGTAGGTGATCAAGAAGAAACAGAAGGAGCAGGAATTTCTTCATTCACAACCAGAATTTAAAGAGTTTTCCATGGGACTTGAGAACATGTAGCTCCACCCAACTCAAGGCTTGGAAAATTTCCATTATTGTGATTTTCCATGACATAATTTTGAGTGCTGTTACTTCCTCACTTTTTTATAAATTTTCCTGTCCCTAAAGAATTAGAGGATTTTTTCTTTTCTTTGAACGTTTGCATTTCTGTTTGAAAATGTTTTCAAATATGAGTTGAGTTCTGAAACACTATTCCAGCTGTTTACAAAAGAAATATGGAATTTCTGGGAGACTAGAATGTTTAACAAAGAATAAAATGTCTACTTATACACAGAAATATTTGCTGGTCAAAATGTTTGCTTTTATACCAGAAAAGGGATTGGAAATTCTTTGACTTTAAAACTAAATGCAAAATTTTGGTGATTATTTTTTCTTTTATTATAGAGATAAGAACATAAGGCTGGACAGCATCATGTCAGCACCAAACCTGAATCATGAGAGAAAACTGGTACTTAGCTCTCTGGAAAGTTCAGAAAAGACCATAGAAAGAAATACTTCTGATTTGTTCAATTTCAATATCACAATTTACTTAGTTTTCACAACTCACAGAGAAAACTAGAAGTGAGGTGATGCATATAGAAAAATTAAAGCCCTGAGTATCATCTCTTCAGTCCTGTAAAAAAGTAAACTGAGTTTTGTTTTGGTTTCAGTTTTGGGTCTTTGTTGTTGTTTTGTTTTTTAATGTTAGTTAAAAGTTAGCAATTACGTCCTATTGCAAAAAGCACCTATCATTACCAGTCTGCTAGTGCATTTTTGTAGCCTTGCTGGTCACTTTGAAACATCTAGATTTTCTACTGTTTCCATGATTTCCTTTGCTTAGTATTTTGTTATCTATTTCAGTGAAATTAATGGAGTTAGATTACAAAGAAACATCTGAAATGAAATAAAGCAGACAATGTTAAAAAAAATACCAGTTGATCCAGTTAGAAAGTTGCTGATTGATGCTAACATATGGGTGCCACTACTAAGACTTAAGAACTGCTCAAAAAGAGGTAAATTATACATGGCAGTGGAAAACTAGACAACAAAAAAGATTTGTAAAGCCCTGGATCTTAGAAGGGAACCTACAACCACTGCTTTACTAAATCAGTACAATATAAGTATCTGTCTTTACAGAGACAGGTAAGTGTAGCCCTCATCCTTTATCAAGGAATCTTCACTTTGCAACAGATAGAGACCATTACAGAAAAACACAATCGCCTATTGAGGTGAGTGTGAGGCCTTCTCAGGCCCAACTTCCCCCAGCCCAACTCCCCATATCCTCTCCTTGGAACTTCCAGGGTTAGCTCCTCCTATAGTTGACCCATCCTGGCACTTCAGACCATCCAGAGCCTGCCCTCATCACAGTCTTGGCCCCCCTAAGCCCTCTGCTTGTGGTGACTGTGGGGCGTGCTCAGTCCCAACTTCCTACATCCTCTCCTTGGAATTTCAAGGGTCACCTCTTCTTGTAGTAGACCCACCCTGGCAATCTGGACCATCAGGAACCTGCCCTCATCAGATTATCGCCCCCTACTACCTCTGCTTGAGTCTTGGCCCCCTAAGGCCTCTACTTGAGTGGACCCACCCCAAAATGTCAAACCATCCAGAGTCTGCCCTCATCTTAGTCTTGTTCCCCCTATACCCTCCACTTGAGAGATCCAAGAGAGCTCAGACCATCCCAAGTTGCTGACATCAAAGTGTTGACACACCTACATCCACCTGGAGTTAATAGGAGAGAGAGAGAGACAGAGACAGAGAGAGAGAAAGAGAGAGAGAGAGAGAGAGAGAGAGAGAGACCCCATCTGCAAAAGCTGGAAGAAGGGATGGGAAGATGACAGATGAGAAAACATTCAACAAT